CGGAGCGTGCCGGGGCGGCGAGGGCCACTTGGCCCGCCTGCCGCCTCCCTCCGCTCGCCGGGGCCCCGGGTGGCCCGGGAAGGGGCTTGGGCAGGGAGGGGGCCCGCGCGTCCCGAAACAAAGCTCAGGACTTCTCCTCCTCCTGCTGCTCCTCCCGGCTCGGGTGAGAAGCCAGCGACGCGAACTGAGCTTTTGGGTGCCCCCCCCCCCCCGACACTCTCCGTCCATTTAAAATGGTATTCGGTGTGCCGGCGAATTTGCAGCTGAACTTGGAGGTAGCCACGCTTCGCGTCCGGACTGCTCGTGTGGGTCCCCGACCTGGCGATGTTAGCGGGGGGAAAGGCCACTCGCGCGCCTTTGTGGACAGCAGAGGTGCCCCCCTGGTCTACTCGCTATGCGTGTTGAACTTGGCGAAGGCTGCCCGAGGCTCCCGGGATATTGACTCAGGGCTGCCCCGGTGGTTCTGAAGATTTTGAATTGTGATGCAGAGAGGGAACGGGAGAACATGGTGTTCTCAGCTAGTTTGAGGAACTCTTGTTTTACTTGCTTTTTTGTTTGTTTGTTTGTTTCTAAGTTGAATATTAAGGAAGCCTTTACGACTTTATATACATCGTTCTGTAAGCCAATTTGAGTTCCGTGCCCTTTAGCCTACTGCGTTTCAATGCACACACTCCTTGAAAAGTTGAATGTGGGACCTTGAGTTTTGTCGGTGGAGGACGGGATGGGTAGGAGTCTGTTCAGTGTTCTGTTGGATCAATATTTTCATGACTACTTTTTTTTTTCTTCTCAAATGTTTCGAAGAACTCGGATTCCAGATGGCAAATTCTATGAATGGCAGAAATCCTGGTGGTCGAGGAGGAAACCCCCGGAAAGGTCGGATTTTGGGTATTATCGATGCTATTCAGGATGCAGTTGGACCCCCTAAGCAAGCAGCCGCAGACCGGAGGACTGTGGAGAAAACTTGGAAACTCATGGACAAAGTGGTGAGTTGTGTCTGACTCTGCCTGTAACAAAGTCCCAGTCATCTTAGATGTGGTTTTCCTGATTTATTTATATTCTTAATGTCAAATAATTCTTAGGGCTACAGTCTTTTGGTTTTTGTGTGTGACTTTGTCTTACTCACTCTCTATGTTTTGAAAAGTTAAATTCAGAGCAAAGACTTACATATTTTTTAACCTTTTGTCTTACTCCTCAAGGTTCAAAGTTCCTCTCTATGACTCAGATATGCAAAGCTTTTACCGTTGGCTGCTTTCCGTTGGTTAAGGTTTTAGAATAATTTGGAAGTGTTTGCTCTGTCTTAGGTGAAGTTGCATTGCCGTTAGATGATAACAAAAAGAGTGCAAACAAGTCATGTAAGGCAGGCTCCAATGGGACTCTCATGACAACCACATGTGCACTGCTAAGAATAGTTACTTGGGAAAAAATCTGATTAGCTCTAAGAGAGGAAACAGCATTTGAGAGAAATAGTTTCCATTTTGATGTTTTGAGAATTCATCTTCATTAAGAAACTTTCTTATTGTTGTCGTCAATGGTAGAGTTACAGTTTCTTTCATCTACTATTCCATTTTGAAACAGGAAACCTTTTTCGCATGTTGCTGATTGTGAAAGGAAAATTTATGTTGTGGGTGGTGGGACTGAGACTATCAGAAACCTCTGTGGTTTCTGCATGTTGCTTTCTGACGAACTTAACATTTCACAATAAACAATTAGGCTAGATGTCAATTTCTAGGGAACTCCAGTTAAATAGGCAACCTGAACACCTTGCAGGGATCTACTCCTGAAAGGTAGTTGTCAGTGTTCTGCCTTACTAGGTAGGCTTATGCAATAAATATGATTACAGTGGGGATGTTGTGTTGCCCAAGGATTAACTCTTGCTTCTGAAGCAGGAGCACTGTCCCTCACATATTCATAAGTGGTCACAGCACCTCTCGACTTTACGTCAGAGCATTTTAGGGCTGATTGCAAATTCATTTGAGGCTTTTCATATATTTATCACCACAGAAATAGAGGGTACCTCAGCCCCTCTCCCTATCTCATTGGTAGAGATGTGTTACACCCTTCACGAGGTCCAGTGGTGGCACTCATCATTGCTTGGTCTTGCTACTGTGTGCAAATAACTGGCCACAAAAACAACACAACAACAACAACAACAAACACCCCCCACAGTCCATAGGATTAGCAATACAAGAAGGTGACATAATTTATTTTCATAAAATGGTCTAGAAAGTGAAGGAGGATAGAGGAACAGGGAGACTGCATTCTATGGTGTATGGTGGTAAATCCGGTAATAGAATGTATTTGCCAGATAAATATCCTTAGTTTTGAGCTACAGTGTGACCTATTTAAGCTTCTGCCAATTTATTCCAATTGTGATATTAAAGTGCCCCAGACAGAATGATGTCATGGTGTCAGAACATTGCTACTTTTTAGTTGGGGTCAGGTTTTGATTTTAGCATTGGATATTTAAGAATGAGAAGTATTCCGCTTGCTAACTAAATGCATTTGGCAGACACATACTAAGTCTTTTTGTTTTCCTAAGGACTATGCAATTGAAAGTCATCCTTTTTGCCTAAATTACAAGTTGGGGGTAAGAGAAGGAATTCAAAAGTTTTTCTATGCTTGTCTGTTATATTAATTAGTGGGCACAAATGGATTGGATTCTATTTCCTTCTCCGTATCCCCTCTTTGAGTAGTTAACACTTACTCATTTGTTAGTAAGGGTTAGAACATCAAATCAAAAATATTTATATAAGGAAGTGGTGAGCTATATTAACTATAAAGTCATCATTTTTGAAACTTTAAAAAGTAGATGGTGTGGATAATTTTGGTCTGTGACTGATTGTTAACCTAAATCATATCTACTATTAGTGAGTAGACCATGAGTTATGCCAACAAGTTGGTTATTTGGTAGCTAAACATCTGCTGTTGCTTATTTTATTAACCTTGCTTTGGGGTTTGGGTTCAGCCTCCCTGCTTAAGAAACTGAGAAGAAATAATCTATTATCTAAAGTGGATAGGTGGGATGTGAGTGTGGGTGGCATTGGCAAAGGTGCATTGCTGTGGTTTTCCTATTTTTCTTCATTATGAGTATTTGTCAGAGATGAAAATTGTGCTCAGGTGTGAATATATTTGGCGGGAAATCCCATACATTACTATGAAGGAAGTTTGTTCATTTCTACCCTATCCCACAGTAATAACATGGCCTTGGTAGTTTCTAATTGGCAGTATATTTCATTTGATAATGTAATGCAGAAGTGTTCCCATGTGTGTTTATCTTCTCTCATTTGTCACTGGTGAAGGAAGTGGCTTATAACATCAGCATGGTCCTGCTGATTATATCAGGAGCTTTATTAATAGTCCAGAAGTTAATCCCTTGACACATTACCTAACTGTTTTGTACAATAACTACCATGGCATGAATTAAGCTTGTGAATAGTAGAAAATGATACATTTCAAGTCCAACTTGGACGACTTTGTTATTTGGTTAGTATTGTTTCTGTATTGAGCATTTTCACCGGGCAGATAATATAATAAGACGTTAGCTTATTTTTTACACAAATAATGCGCACATTATATGATTTTGAAAACCACATACCCCC